GGGATACCACCAGATCCTTTTTAAAAGTGCTGCAGGGTGCTCTGTAATATTAGCCCTGTTAGTTGTGAAAACACCTGCACATGATTCACAAGATAATCCACAGATTTCAAATAGGAATCCATAGTGTCAGAACATTCTGTCTTGCTGTGGTCTTCCTGAGTTCTTTGCAACAGAATTTCTCTGTTATTTTTCTGTTGCCAAAAAAACAGGTGAAAGGTAAGAATTGGTATTTTCTGATATTATAAAGTTGGAAAAAAATAGGAGGCAAACATTTTACTCATTGTGGGTGATACTATGTAGCGCTGGTGTAAGATATAAATAAATTCTACGTCATTTGGTCAGTTTAGGCATGCTTCCATGTTGTGATCATCTCTTGTGTTCTTCATTAGCATTAAGGTGTAAATCCTCCAGGCCTATATCCACAAAGTGACCTAGGCAGCATCTACACTGCCTAGTTCATTAATGCACTTTAGTTACTACACTTTTAGTTTAGTACTTCCTTAATGAAGTATTAACTGAATGTACAATAACTACATTTACTGTGCAGTAGTGCCAGTGAACATTTTTTTTTTTTGTGATGGTTACTGCACAGTAACCTAGTAACACAGCACAGTAGCTTATTAGCACGGTTTTTGACTGGCATATTACTGTGCAGTGTTATTAGTAAGGCTGCACTGGTAAAGATTATTTTGGCTGATGGCTGATTTATTTAACTAGTCATATCAGCCAGTCTGATAGCCAATTATGCAGCCCAGCAGTATGGAGAGCAGTGTCTGGCCAGTGAGACAGTGGGGGCTCCCCACTATGATAAGGATCTCCCAGTGCAAGGGGTGCCCAGCCTTGTCCTAGCTCCATTCCCTCCCTCACCGTGGGTGCCTCAATCTGCACCACCCCACTTCCCTTCCCTCCCCCCCACCTCTCCCCCACCTCCCCCCCAGGCTTACCAGCCAGATGATGGTTTCCAAGCTGCCGGACTGCATTCCTGGCCATGTACATGCTGCAGCTGTGCACGTGCATGTAGCATTTATCGGTGACATTGGTTATGCCAGGCAAAAAAAGCCAATTGCCAATAATGTCCATTTTCCTTTTATCAATGCCAATCCTATATGGACCAATATATCAGTGCAACTCTAGTTATTAGACTACTGCACAATAAGCATCTTGTATAGATGCGCCCTTAGAGACCTAACTACCATGGCAGGCACCAAAGTCCAAAATGTAGATCCTCAAAAACACCATTTAGCTGCAGCCAAACCTCAAGGCACCTAAACTCTGTAGGTATCTAAGCTTCCAACAGTAAAGTTACCTAGATGCCTAGATGTCCTTTTCTGGAAATGTCTAAAAGTACCTCACTCCTAAGTTTGGGGCTTTTTTCTCATCTAACCCACTTAGGGATTACAAACTAGATGTCCCTTTGCATGTTTTCACCACAGAGCTCAATCCAGTCAGCATTCTAGATGATGGAATTAGAGGACAATCCAACAAATCAGGCTGTACACAGAATATGGGAGGCAGGGGAGTAGATGGTGAAAGTGGTTGTGGTCCTTTTTTACCCACTATCATAGTGATTAAAGCAGTCACCCATCACATAGGAGTCTCATGTTCAAACTTGTACTCTGCTTGAGGGTATCTGAATCCACATGACCCACCATCCCAGAACAATGCCTAGGATTGAAGCTGAAAGACTGAAATATTTAAATTAAGGGGGGGGGGTAGGGGGACTGCCCAACTACCTACAAATTAAGCACTTCAAAATTCAGCTTGATAGTACCTGAGTCCGCTTTGTGGATCTGACCGTTTTTACCAGGTTTATAAAGAAGAGGCTCTCCTTCCCCCTTCCCAAGACAAAACCAACCCATTAGAGCAGTCTGAAAATGTTTTTTCTGAGCTCAACTTGTACGTCATTCTAGAATATTTCTATTAAAGATAGTTCCTAATTATGACCCATTAATAAAACCTTGAGCCATCCTATTTTTGCATGACTCTTAAAATTAAAAGGGAAAAAATCTGTAGAGAAGCCTGGAAAGGAAGAAGAATGGATAGAGCTATTAGTAATTGTTAGTAAGGAGTGGTTACCATTGTTCTTGAATACTGAAGAAAGAAGTGGATAGAGTTATGAACTATAGGTCCTTCATTTGTCTGAATCCAGAGCATTTCCAGGAGATAGTTTACTTAAAAAGGAACACAGGACAGTTGAATTCAGAGTTGTATCAATAATTAACAGATCTTCACTTCTGTCCATCCACCTCAGCCTTGGCATCAAGAGAACCTGTATTATCAAATTCAGATAACTACACTGGTAATATTCTGAAACTTGTCTAGATTCTGGAAAAGTAAGCAAGCTGGAAAATGTATAAGTATCTAAATGTGATGATCCTTAGTTAGACCTTGGAGTATTAGAAAACTCCTTGTAGTGCTTTTTACATGTTGCAAAAGAAGTACCTTAATGTTTTACTCCACTGCATATTGTCCTTTAAATACATTAAATCAAATGAGATAAATTTTCTCCTGGAAACGAAAACCAAATTAATCGAAACTTAATTTAGCAAACAAAATTGTACACTGGCTATAAAATGTGGAAAAGAGATTGAGGCACCATGCGACTAGTACATTGAACGTGAATAGCTGGAATGTTGCTGTGGCAATAGACTGTTAATCTGACTTCGACTGTGTCTGAGGCAGCCACATTCCATGGGGCCCTGCTGCAGACCGAGCTGGGACTAGAATGTTTACAGCAAGATGCCAAGGTGGACTGGATGCGTGCACTCTGCTCGACTGCCATGCTCATAGCATGTGCCAAATACACTGTTCTCATGAAAAGCAAAATGCTGTGTATTTAAGACCCATACTCTGATAGGCGAATCATACCAATAAGAATAGAAGTGTATGAAATACTTGTATCATTGTAAGAGGCATCATTTGTATTTATTTTAATCCATTTTAAACCCCAAGTGTTACTTTTCTACAGTTTAAAGAAATATTTTTAGTGGCCGAAAATACTGAATACCAAATGGTTGAATGCCCCTTCAAGTTAGCATGGCTGTGTGTTTCCATGTGGCAGGAAGAGTAGATATGCATCTTTATAGACTAACAAAATAAGATATATACACAGAGAGAGAGAGAGAAAGAACATGAGCTTTCATGACCCAAGTTCACATCATCAGATGTGCAAACTGCTCTCGTCCTTGAGAGCCATACAGTAGAGAACCCAGATTCTTGGCAGGGCTGGATTCCTTACTGCCTGCAAATATGAGGGTTTGTGAAATACCCAGGAATATACAGAGCCAAAGTGGGTGTGTCTACACATTCATTTACTTCAGCCTAGATTTACTCTTCAGTAAGCTACTGCAGAGTAAGGGTTTTTGGATAGGTGTCTACACATGCAGGGGATTAGGGAGAAGATTTGCTCCCAGTTCCCTGCAGCCCTGCAATGGGCCCCTGCTGCCACCAGGGGGAGCTCCAGACTCCCCTTGGGTACTAGCCCAGGGACAATGTCCCCTTGCCCCAGCAGCAGGGAGCTCCTGGCCCTGGCTCCCCAGTCAGGGGCATGGGGCTTGGAAAAAGCTGCAAGAGAGGGGCAGGTCCCAGCCCCCTGCCCTGATCTGCTGGTGGGGCAGCTAGCAACTAGCTGCCCCACTAGCAGATTGGGGTAGGGGGCTGAGACCTACCCCACCCCTGCAGCTCTTTCCAGGCCCCATACCTTAATCACCCAGTTGGAGCACAGGGCAGGGACCTGCCCCTGACTAGTTCGCAGCTGGTCCCGGGCTGCGCAGGGAAGTCTGCATGTGCATCCTGGAGCTGGCTGGGGACTGCCCAAAACAGGACAGTCCCCCACCACTTCCAGGCTGCATGTGCTTCCCCATGCAGCCTTGGGCTGGCTGGGAACTGTCCTAGTCAGGGACAAGTCACAGCCAGCTCCAGGCTGGAGAGGAAACTATCCCCATGCAAGGAGCTCCCAGCCCGTGCTCCGCAATTGGGGAGCGAAGGCTGGAAGCTCTCTGCTGCCAGGTCAGGGGGACATTGTCCCCACCTGGGAATGCAGGGCAGGGAACAGGCTCCTCAGACCCTGCCAGCAGGGAGCTCCCAGTGCCAGCTCCACAACCGCAGGGCTACTGCTGGGAGGTACTTATCCCTCAGGCTGAGTTCTGTGGTCACAGGGCTCAGGTTGGGATACCCTTATCTTCCAGCCTGAGCTCTGCAGTCATAGGGCTCGGGCTGGAAGAACGTTATCTCAGGGTCTCGGGCTGGGAGATTGCAGGGCTCAGTCTGGGAGATAAGGGTCTCCCAGCCCCCACTGCCCAATCGCAATCTTGGAGTGGGAAGCTTGGAGCTCCCTGATGTCAGGGCAGGGGGACATAGTCCCTGCCTGGGGTCCTATGGAGGAGCCTGCCCTAGCAGCAAGCAGCTCTCAGGGACAGGGAACAAACTCCTGCCCCCTAGTAGACAGCGGACCGTGAGCTTCCGGTCAGGAGTCTACATAAGTGTTACAGCGCCATTACTAATGCCGAGTAAATTTGCTACTTGCATTTGCAGGTAGCAGATTTACTCAGTATTCGGGAAGTTTACTGCAAAGTAAACGTGCATGTATAGATGCACATGCTTACTTCACAGTAAACGATGGTAATGCGATGTCAAGCATCTTGTGTAGATGTGCCCAGTATGGAGCTGCATAGAACTGTTGAGGTGTTCTGGCTTTTTGCTGAAGATTTATTTCAGTGGGTTGCTTCTCTGATCAGCTGTGTGGGATCACTGCTGGGCTTCAGCTGAATGAAGAAGAGGCCTTTTGAAGTGAAAAACTTACTGCTGTCAAGTTAGGCAGGTTGCGAACCACCCAGATACTAATGATCTGGGTGCTGTTGTCCGGGTACTGGGTGACGAAAAAATGCCTCAATATAAAATTTAATTAAAATGAAGTGGTTCACTTTCATTTGCCTACTGCTATATTTTGATTTCCTTGAATATCTGACAGCATTTATGTCTCTATAATGTTCTTTTAACAGATACTGGCAGTACCAAAGGGGAGCGACTAAGTGTCAAACTAAGATCTTTGTCTGGAGCAAACGAGCCCTATGAAAGCAGCAGCAATAAAGAAATAGGTAAAGTAACCTGCAGGACCTTCCCAGCAGCCATATTCTTCTGGTCAAAGGAAAGAAAAAACTGTTGGCAGTCTTACTGAATTTGTCAATGACCTAGTTATTTGTGGTAGCATTTTCCTCTTGAACAAATGTGAGAAGTGATTATAGCTCCATTGTATCACAGTTATAAAATCATTGTAAATACATATGGGTAAAATAAAGAGACCTAGTCAGTTTCAGTTAATGATTTAAACCACTATTATCTGCTTCCTGAATGCTTTTGCTACCTTTTTATAGGTCTACAGTCACAAGTTCTTATTTTATTAAGGTGGGATTTTCAGAGACTAAAGGAGATAAGGATTCAAAATGCACTGGGATCATTAATGCTCAAAGCTCCCTTCCTGGACCTGTCTACCATTTCTCCTCTTTCAGGCACCCTCCCAAAAGCTAATTCGCTAAAACTCAGTAATAGTAATAAAAAGGAGGAAAGGATTTTAGAAAGAAACTATAACCACCACTATATATCTGCTACTCCATTTACGCTCTCTCATTGCCTGCCAGTGTTACCATTGTTTGGTCTTAATGTAGGATCATGCCTATGTTTCTAACAGTAGCTGTTCCCAATACATTTAACTCTACAGGACATGGGAAAGAAATGGATCCCTTGCCCAGAAAAGTTTTGTACATGTATAGGCTGTTATATACAATTCCTTATTTTAGTCTGATGTTCCTGATACAATCTATGTTATAAGCAATTTTATGTTTCAGCTTTGGGGTTTTTTTAAATCCTAGATGCCTCATATGTAGATCCACTTGGTCCACAGGCAGAGAGACCAAAGACTGCAATCAGAAAAAAGACTGAAGAGGATGATTTTGCTGATGAAGAGTTAGGAGAAGATTTGCTTCCAGAATAATGGGCTGTACCTTCTGACATTTCACCGTTTAAAAGTTTTGAAAGAAAATAATACTTTTGCATTAGTTTTTAATAATGTGAAAAATTCTGTTTTGTATTCATAATGAGTTATGTATAAAATGGTAGAGGTGAAATAAACAGTTTCTATCATAAAAGTAATTAAAATATGTGCATTTTTTATTTGGGTTATACATGAATGTGGCACAGATACTTTTGTAACACTGATTGTTCATACTCCCACATGTATAATGCTTTTGGTTGCAGATACATGTGTAACTTTATCAAGCATAGTTGTCTCTACCATTTCTTTTTTCAACCCCAAATATGAAAACTATGTGAGGATGTGTGTTGGACATACGTAGTTCAAGGCCACAATTTATTTGTAATGAATATGAACTGATTGATAATACTGACCATTACATTGTCATCTCTGGGACCACAAGTCCCTACTAATAACCCTGAGTCTGGAATATTTTCTCAACTTCTGTTGTTGTAAGTTTTAAAAAATGTGCCCAGTTCCTTAAGATCTCTCTCAACTTGATTGTGTGAATGTAACCCAGATGGTTACGTGATGCACTTGCCAGCCAAATGCAAGAGTTAGGGTCCACAGGTAACAAGAGCTTCCACTTAGCAGTGTGTGTTGAACACTTGGTGTGCTGCTACCCTGAAAAGGAAAGAAAAGGAGTCCTCTTCCCCCTCCAGGACAAGGGCTTCGATTTCTGTTAACCCTCCAAGCTGTAAACCTATTTCTTTTTTTTTCTCCTACCCCTGGAAAAAGAAACACCCTCCCCTCTGGAAACTTGGAAGCAGAGAGGGAGAGGATGGCTGTCTTAGTTCCAAATGAAGGCATGAAAACCATAGCATAATGTCTGGATGTCACCATGATTAGTTTGTGGCTTCCTACCTTCAGTCAGTGAATTGACTTTCCAGCTTTCCTGGACAGGCAGGAGGGAATGCTTCTCGACATACCCTTGAGAACCCTAAGAAGGGTAGCTGTAGATTCCTTAGTAGGCAGATTTATCACCCAACATCAATACCAGGTCACTAGTGTCAAGACACGCAAAGGACCAAATCCAAATCTCAAAATCAATGAAAGTCCTTCTTCTCACTTTAATAGGCTATGGATCGTGCCTTCTATGATCTGCTTCGGTATTTGGTTGTCTGTTTTGATATTTGACCAACTGTAACTGATATTTGACCAGCTATGATGAGATGACTGGCTCTGTGGACACAGGGAGACCAGTGGATGTTAGTATACCTTGATTTTATACAGCTTTTGATACAGTCTCCCACAGCATTCTCACAGACAAGCTAAGGAGGTACGGGCTGGATGAATGGACTGTAAGGTGGATAGAGAACTGGCTGGAGCATCAACCTCAGAGGGTAGTAATCAATGCCATGATCTCTAGTTGGCAGTCAGTATCAAGTGGAGTGCCTCAGGGGTTGGTCTTGGGGCCAGTTTTATTCAATGTCTTCATCAACAACCTAGAAGATGGCATAAAATGCACCCTCAGTAAGTTTGCAGATGATACCAAGCTGGGAGGTGGTGGGGAATAGTAGATATGCTGGATAGTAGAGCTAGGATTCAGAGTGACCAAATTGAGCCAAAAGAAATCTCATGAGGTTCAACAAAGACAAGTGTGAAATCCTGCACTTAGAACAATCCTATGCACCAGTACAGGCTGGGGGCTGATTGGGCAGCACCTCTGCAGAATAGGACCTGGGGGTTACAATGAACAATAAGTTGAATATGATCCAGCAGTGTGCCCCTGTTGCCAATAAGGCTAATGCCATACTGGGCTGCATTGGTAGGAGTGTTGCCAGCAGGTCAAGGGAAGTGATTATTCCCTTCTATTCAGCACTGGTGAGGCCACATCTGGAGTACTGTGTTCAGTTTTGGGCCCCTCGCTACAAAAAGCATGTGGACAAATTGGAGAGCGAGTCCAGGGGAGGGCAACAAAAATGGTTAGGGGGGTAGCGGACATGACTTACGGGGAGAGGCTGAGGGAACTGGGCTTATTCAGTAGGAAGGAAATCTCCCACGAGGAGTTTTTAAAAACTCCCAGAAGAGTAAGCAAGGAAGGAGGAAGGAAATTGTGAGCAGACCAACTTGCTACAAGAAGAGACCAGGCTATTGTGCTGGATCTAGCACCAAAGGACTCCCTTCCCTAGTGCCTGGGACAGGGCAGAAGCATTTGGGTTGATTTATTTGCCTGTTTGCTGCTTAAAGACTTCTTATTTGAGAGGACTGCCTGAGAAGCTCCTCATGGAGCAAAACCTGCCTTCAGAAAGCAACAGGCTAGACAACCCTCTTGCACCAACTTAGCATTGAATAAAGTATGTATTGAACTGCTCAGATAGTAGATGTACTTGCCTATCATGAGTAACCAGTGTTACAGTGCCCTGGCTCTCTTCCAGTTACCAGCATCACAAAAACAAAACAAAAAAAAATGGAGTAGGGAGGGGGAGCAATAGCAACAGAAGAGGGAAAATTCCTTCCTAGCCCCATTGGCAACCAGGAATGCCCGGAAGCATGGATTACCCAAATATTTCCACTCTGCACTGCACCCTGGAGACAGCAAATAGAGCATTATTCCTTGTATGCCCACACTGGAGAATCAGAACCCCACTTACCTCTTGTCTCTTACATAATCTTCTTTCATAACTAAGCCAGATTGTGGAGCTCTGCTTAATTTTCCTGATACTGAGCATGGCCCTCTCCAACTTCCACCTGCTCTGGACTGCAGAACTCTTCCCTTGATTTCTGGATGATATCTATGTGCAGGGATCCTTTGGGCTTCCAACTGTTTCTCTTCAAAGCACACTCCAGGCTATTTCCTAAATAATTCCTGACCAAAACATATCCAATTTCTTCTTAAAAACTTCTAATGAAGGAGATTCCACAACTTTCCTAAGCAGTCTATTCCACTGCCTCGCTGTTCTAACGGTCAAGAAGTTTTTCCTAATAACTAATCTAAACCTACTTCACTGCAATTTCAAGCCATTGCTGTGTGTCCTACTCTTTGCAGTGACAAAGAAAAGGTATTTTTCCTCTTCTTTATGATGATCATGTCCCCCCTTAATTGCATTTCTGAAGCTAGACATGCTTATTTCTCTTATCTTCTCCTTGTTTGGCTTGGCTTCCAAGCACTTAATCATTTTTGTCACCTGCATTTGGACCCTTTCTAATTTCCCCACATCCCTGGGGGGATGGCACCGGTGCTACGGAAGGAAGGACCAGGGCCTGTCAGCAGCTTGCCCCTGGCAGGCTCCAGCTCCAAAAAAGAAAAAGGAAGGGATTGGGCCACTTGCCATAACGTGATGGATAAAATGAAAGTTTAGTCCTTACGGTTTTATTCTAAGTCCCACCATTTCAATTTAGGAGGCATAAAATAAAACCTTGGGGATTAAACCTGTACAAGCGCCCCTAGTGACAGATGATGAAGAAAAGGCTGAAGTATTCAATGTCTTTTTTTACCTCGGTCTTCACAGGGAAGGTCAGCTCCTGGACTACTGCACCAGGCAGCACAGTTTGGGAAGCTGACAACAGTGGTGAAAGAACAGGTTATGGTCTATTTAGAAAAGCTGGATGTGATAAGCCCATGGGGCCAGCTGCAGTGCATCTGATGTTGCTGAGAGAGTTGGCTAGTGTTATTGCGGAGCTGCTGACCATTATCTTTGAAAACTCATGGTGATTGGGAGAGGTCCCAGATGGTTGGGAAAGGGCAAATATAGTGCTCAACTTTAAGAAAGGGAAGACAGAGGATCCAGGGAAATACAGACCAGTCAGCCTCATCTCAGTCCCTGGAAAAATCAGCGAGCAGATCCTCAAGGAATCCATCTTGAAGTACTTGGAGGAGAAGAAGGTGATTAGGAAAAGTTAGCATGGATTCACCAAGGGCAAATCATGCCTGACCAACCTGATTGCCATCTATGATGAGATGACTGGCTCTGTGGATGCAAGAAAAGCAGTGATTTTAGGAAGCCTTTTGATACCGTCTCCCACAGCATTCTTGCAAACAAGCTAAGGAAATATGGGTTGGATGAATGAACTGTAAGGTGGATAGAAAGGTGGCTGGATCACCAGGCTCAACAGGTAGTGATCAATGGCTCAATGTCTAGTTAGCAGCTGGTATCAAATGGAGTGCCCCAGGGGTCGGTTTTGGGGTGTGTTGTTCAATATCTTCATTAACAATCTGGAAAATGGGATGGATTGCACCCTCAACATGTTTGCAAATAACACCAAGCAGGGGAGTGTAGGGCTAGGCTTCATCAGTGACCGAGACAAATTGAAGGAATGGACCAAAAGAAATCTCATGAGGTTCAACAAGGACAAGTGTGAAGTCCTGCACTTAGGGTTGAAGAATCCCATGTTCTTCTACAGGCTTGGGACCACCTGGCTAAGCAGCAGCTCTGCAGAAAAGGACTTGGGGTTTACAGTGGACAATAAGCTGGGATATGAGTCAACAGTGTGCCCTTGTTGCCAAGGCCAGCAATATACTGGGCTGCTTTAGTAGAAGCATTGCCAGCAGATCAAGGGAAGTATCTATTCCCCTCTATTCTGCACTGGTGAGGCCACATCTGGAGTACTGTGTCCAGTTTTGGGCTTCTCGCTATAGAAAGGATGTGGACAAGTTGGAGAGAGTCCGGCAGAGGGCAACAAAAATGGTGAGGGGGCTGGGGAACTTGAGTTCGGAGGAGGGGCTGAGGGAACTAGGCTTGTTTAGTCTGCAGAAGAGAAGACTAAGGGGGGTGGGGGG